ATCATTTTATTCGCTTAATCATATATCCGTACAGTCACCTTGTTTTAGCTTATCCCGCCACTGAACAGGCAGGCACCGGCAAGGGGCGAGGGGAAGTTGGGAGTTATGTATGTCAATGCCATATTTAAAAATAACATCTTCTGAGTAAGGTAGTTAAAAATATTTATATTTTTCGTCTAGAGCGATATATCTATTTCCGCGCTAGGTATGTATGTGGCTTCCATTATCAATCATTTTCGCCGCGGCCGTGTTGTCGTTATCTCATCCCTTCCTGTGTTAAAAGGGCCCTTCAACGCCGTCAGTATAAGATATGAAAAATATGATGAAAAAATAAAAATGAAAAATGAAATGGACCTTTCCCATCCCGCACACCATTCTGATAACGCGCGTTGCTCGGCGTTTATCTGCCTGGGGGGGAAATATCAGGGTATCGTAACAAATAAAAAAGCCCACGGTAGGGTTGCCTGTAAAAATAGCCGTAAGCAGAGCAAACAGTGTGACGATAAATTTCTTTTGTTTATCATCACAAAGCCTGCCCCTTCAAAACATCCATCCCCCCGGTCCTCATCTCTTCTAACCGCTGGCCAATCCCTTTCCCTTCCGCCTCGACAAGTTCATACCGCCTCTCAATCTCCCTCTCAAACACAGCGGCCACTTTCCGACGCTCGTGTCTCGCCGCTTTCGTCCGCTGAAGTAATAGGCTGAACTGGTCAATGATCCAGTCACCGCTCTCTTCCCACTCTGCGATATTCAGGGATGCGAAGAACATGTGGCGCTGCTCGTCTGTCAGCGCCTTTAGTCGGGTAAGTTTCTCCGAGAGAGGGAGGGGGGGGTCCTGTGGTTGGAAGATGGGCTGCGGCGGGGCTGGGTTGTAGTCGAATGATTCCGCTTGGAGATCAGCGAAGGTTTTTGTCTCCAGGATGTTTGGCGGATAGTCGGATTGTAATTCGGTCCAGGATCGTTTTGTAGAGACGGGGGATAGGGTGGAGAAGCCGAGAGATGTGTATGTATGTTGGTTGTCTGTGCTGTTTTCGGATGAAGAGCTGTCCACCGCACTTAGGTCTGTGATGTCAAATAGACCACCATGGCTGTATGGATCGTGGTTGTCATGTGTCACGTGTAGAGGGTTCGGTTTGTTGGGTCCTATGGTGTTTCTTGCGCTTGACTGAGCGACTGGTTGCGACTGCGGAGATAAAATGACAGTGCGGGAAGGTGAAATTTGGGGAATTGGCCGCGAACCGACTAATATCCCCCCTTCAAGGGGTGCTCCACCACGTGGGTTTGGGGTGCTAAAACGAGATCTCGTCACGAACCGACTGTCGGTGGAATGCTTTTGCGTTGCTTTTGGTGTATACATATTCTCATCGGGATAGTTCTCGTAATCCGATTGCCTGGGGACACTTTGTTCTTCAATGTTTTCTTGCCGCTGTATGCCTTGCGCGGTAGGGGGGGCCTTGGTATCGTGCAGGGCTGCTTCAATCTTCTGCCAGCTCAACGGTTCTCCATTGATATGGTGGTTGCTGCTCCAATCGAATATTTGGGCAGCATCTCCATCGAACTCATTCTCATCGACCGCATCAAAACGCACATGCTGCACATCATGCTCCTGTGGAACCTGGATAGCATCATGCTCATCTCCGCCAGGGTCAGAGCCAAGCTCCATTATCATTCTTTCCTCCAGGGCATTTCGACCGCGGGGATTACCCCAGCTATAATGCACGTTTGATGGCAAGTCATTCTCATCTTGAGCTGTTCGCTGAGCAGCCGGCGGGCCAACTTGGAAATCATGCTTGACGCCGCCTTCTTCCTCTCGAATGAGGCTCGTGGCCGTAGTAGTAGAATCATCGACAGTTTCCACATCAGTGTCAAACATATCCCTGGGTGTTGCTTGGCTATGCTGTACGTGATATCCTGCGGTCTGTCCAGACAATCTAGTTGTTGTCCCAAGTTGATGTTCCCGCGGAGTCCCAGCTGCAGATCTAGGCCTGTCACTCAATCTCGTCGTTGGTACTTTAAGTCTCGCCATATTAGCAACAAGTTCCCTTGAAGGATTAGTTGCAACATGGTTGCTGCTCTGCGGAGCTGGGGTATCATTTTGCAAGGTTTTCCCCCGAACGTATTCCGCAACTGCCATTGCTCCGGTTTCGGGGAAAACAGGAGAAACAGTGAATTTGAACAGTTCCTGGGCAGGACGACAGATACACCTTCGACGCGTATGTCGAGGTGGTTACGGTATGACAAGGCCCATTTCCGCACCCGTCCTCTTCAGCAGTGCTCCGCGGGTTTCAAGCGTTGAGGTTGAGGCAGTCCATTTTGGAAGTTGAGCACGTCCCCTACACGTGGTCACATGACCTTATCCACCTGACTCGGTCGTTAACAGTGGACATTCACATCCACGCCCCTTATTGGGGATGTTTTTACTCCTTCTCGTTCGTTTTGCCTTCATCTTGTCAGTGTAATATATTGGTGACAGTATTGTCATTCCGTTGACTGGCATATTTATGAAACATTAAGGGCAGGTATATTTGGTTGCCTTCTAACTAGGCTTACATACCAGGCTAGTGTTGGGGGTCCTGCGGTTGATCGGCCCTTCTACCAGCAGTGCGCTGGTGGTGATCGAGCTCTTTTGCCCCAGTAGCCTACAGCTAGTCCAGAAATCTAATATAAGCATCTGTCATCGCATCATGTACAACCAGAAAAGATACTATTAAAGCCATGTCAAGTCGCGCCCTGACACAAGTATACCGCAAAAAAAAACGTAATAATTAAAGGCGCAGTGTCTTTGACTACACCTCCTATGCCCTAGATAGTATACACGGTCATCGTAAATCAGCTTGACGACCAATTAGATTTCGCAAGTTTAGACAACAGAATCATCCTCATTCACCTCATCCGAGGACAATGGAGTCTGTTTCCTGCGCGCTTTGGCCTTTGCCTTTTCAAAGAATACATTCGCCTTCTCCATCTCCGCCATCTTCCTCTCCATCCCCAACCCTCGCTCCATACGCGCGAGCACTGAGTCCATCTGCCCTCCACCTTCATCGGAAAACATGGTCTGGTCACCATCATGTCTCATATCCATGTGCATGTCTGTATCATCATCTTCCGGGGACACAGACGATATAAATAAATCTGCGATCCACAATGACAACATGCCCCGTAACTGCAGCAGCTCATGGCTATCCGAGAACGGCGGGGAAATTAATAGCTCGTCCATCTGCGCCGCTATCTGTTCCGCTTCCGCGAGTTCCTTGCGGCGAGTTTCGGCAATGATATCATTCTTCCGATTATTACTACTGCGACGCCGGTGGGGCATATCACTGGAGATGGACATATTATCATCATGAGTCGGATCGTCAAAGTCGTACATTTCTGCCGTGTCCGACATGTCCATCATGGCAGCGTCTCGTGCTGACTGACTTTCTTCCTGCACGAGCGAAATCCAAAGCCCGAACATAGCGGGATAGAAATCGAGTGGGCCAAGCGCTCCCGGCGCAGTTTTGCGGTATGGAAACTGGAGTATCAGGCGCTCGTAGTAGCTCTTGGCGCGCTCAAATCCCCTGCGGGTAAACCAATGTCGTCGAGGTGGGGGATGAGGGATGCCGGCATCCCCAATCCCTGTTGATGTTGATGAATGCGCTGTCGCATTGTGATCACTCCATAAGAGTATTTCTGCACCAATCCCCCACCGGCCACCACTTCGGACATCTATCCCATGACCCCCGAATTCATCCCGTAGGATCAATCCCCAAGCCCTCCCAGCACGCGCGTAATCTCCCTCTAACAGGCATCGATGAAGTATAGTTGTAATGACACCCAGGTGCTGTAAGCGCAGACTGCTGCACTGGCCTTCAGCTCTAGGAATGAAGATTGGCGGCGATAGCTGAGACAGCTCCTTCTCGATCTGCTTCCGGCTAATCTTGGTAGTCTTTCTCTTGCCCAAACCTGAATGCGGAAAACTGCCACCTGGAAGTTCTTTATGGAATGGCTGGCCGGCAACTCGATATTGGTGTGCCTCATTTGGGGTCAAAATTATTGATTGCCTCGGACCAGAGCCTGCGGCATTCTCATCATCCGCACCGCTTTCAGTGCTACTGCTCGCACTGGTATCATCGTCACTGGTGTTCGCAATAGATACTTCATGCTCTTCTACATCCTGCCCTGGTTCTTGAACGTTTTGCTTGCGCTTGCGAGCTTCATACTGGGCTGTACGAAAACTCGATGGTTGCTGCCATGGGGCGAGCGGAAGTGAGAAGTAGGATGAAGACATGAATTGCCTGATGCGGGAACCAATCAGGTTGAAATGAACTGTCTTATCAGGGTGATCATGGCACTGTGGCGCTTGTAACAGTCGCAAACAATTGCTCCCGTCGTTCAATCGGGGCGTTTCCTTGTTTCTTTTTCTTCTTACTATTTTCTCATATAAATGGTCAAGAGAATATCTAGCCTTCTTCCCTTCATTTTTTCAAGATGGTACTATCACCTCTGGGGTCGAGTACTGCGTGGTAGAAAATTGTGATTTGGTCGAGTTGTCGTAGATGGACATTCTTGGGTCGATAACAACAGAATACCACGGATAAATATTAATCCGATATATCCAGGCTTTGTGTAAGCAAGCACAGGTGCCAAAAAAACCTTACATTCACGAAACATGATGAGCCCACATGATTGTGCATGTTCTATGTACTATATCTCTATTATTAGAGAACGGGAGCGGTGGAGTAACTCCACTGTAGACACGGCCTTGTTCAGTTCTTGCCACGGAATACCTTAGCTGGGGTACTATCTATCAATGCTAACATCAAACGGCTGGATATATATGGGCGTCATCATACTTCAAGAGGCAAACTAGCTTGGTGATTTGGAGGCCCAATACAACTCAATAGTTTCATGATGGGAGTTCTTATTCAATGAATGTACTCCTCTGCTCCCTCTTCCCCGTTCCCCCCTTTGCTTCAAAGCCCCGAATCCCATTCTTGACTAATTATAAGGGTCTGGTGTTCTTCTTCTCCCTTCGCGGTTCCGTTGCTCGTTGTATATATCTCGCCATCCAACAGGCCATCGGAACAATGTATCTCCGACCGATCCCAGAGCCGTCTCATCATTGCGGTCCCGTCCCGTGACCTGGCCAAACACTCAGCTCTGGCTTGCTTCGACTTCATCATCATCATCATCATCATGGCCGACTAAGGTATTGCATTGTCGCAAGCTGAGACCCCGCGTTATTCCTGGAGCCAGATTCCTTGGATTTATCTTTCTTTAAATACTCTTACCCACTACCAAACTTCCTTCCCCATACAGTGGTTACCTTCTTTCTTTTGGTGGTGGTCCTTGCGCCTGCAAGCGCCCTGAAACAAGTCTGTCTTTCACCACTCCACGGCCCTTCCAGGACAGCGAGTGACTGTTAATCACGAGGGGAACATTTCGCCAACCGAGAACGCTGGATTCCTCCTGCTCAATACTTGTAAGTATCCTATTTGTCTTGCTGGATCACGTCCTTAACCATCTCGAAAGCCTATTTCTTCCACCCAACAGCCGCCCAGTTCCTGTTGAGACCTCCTGTTGCAAGCGGTCACTAATACACTCCTAGTGGCGTCAAAACGTCGGGATAACCTCTCTGACGAGTCATTTCCCCCCCGCCACCTACTCCCGCTCCCACCCAAATATGAGTGAGTGAGTAGACTCACGAGGCCTTTGCTCCTTCCGATACCTGCTTCCGTGGTAGCCCCCCTCGGCTCCCGGGTTTGTTTGCTTAGACTATGGGGCAAGCCTCCTCTTCCCAACGCGCAAACTCCGCGCAGAGCAACCACAACCGCAACAACAATAACAGCATCTCGTCACTCTCACTCTCGCGCCTTTCACGCGAACAACATAGCGGACAACATAGCGGACAACCTCACCCTGGCCACTTAAATCCCTCCTTGCACCTTCGACATCGCTCTAGCGGCGGGATCGATAATTCTACACAACACAGTCATGCGGGTCCCCCTTTGACTTCTCAAACTGCAACTTCGCCTTTGTCCACAGGTGCCGCTCACTCGGATGTGTTTCGAAGTTCGAGTGATACAAATTCACGTATGTCCCAACGAGCAGATAGCGCTTTGGAGAACATGGAACATCTGCGACCTCACAGCTCTGTCGCCACTCTAGGAACATCTGCTTCCATTCCCGCCTCCGCGACGAGTCGACAGTCGACCATGTCTCGTCTCGGTTCGAGGATTCTTCCAAACGCAGTAGTGAGAGGACTGTTGAATAGTGGAGAAGAAACACCCGCGGAAGGTCGTGCTCACCGGATCGGTTTGTTGTCTAGGACTCTACACAGATCCGACTCTGCTCATCATTCACACCGCTTCTCGTCCTTCACTGGATCTAGCTCACGAGGGATATCAAGGAGACGCTCGATACGTGGACCCTATCCTCCTCCACGAGGCGATGCAGCCTTACTGCCCGATTCTCCTCCAAACCCCACATACCTCGATGCTACTGGCATCGAAAGAGAATCCAGCACCGGAAGATTTTCGTGGCGTCATCGGGCGAGATTAAGCCATGTACGACATTCCATTGCTGCGCCAATATCGCAGATTCTTGGCCAATCGCCCGCCATGACTGAACCAAGCCAAACAGCAATGCTCCCGCCTCGTCGACCGTCACGGCCTAGTTTTACAGAAGACTCCAACCACCTACTTCCACCCTTAGGGTCAATGGACACGCACATGGAATTTGGTGGATCCCGTGAACTTGACTCCGTTGAACCTTCTACACGGAATCACTTGCCAATCTCACCAAGCACCCCTTCTCGACCTACACGCTCCTCTTCACCCTCCCGAAGACATGCTCCATCGCGTTCACGACACATTCGATCCATGCGTAGGGATGAACAAACCCCCTTGTCTCGCGTTTTACAGCTAGCAGCAGCTGCCATAGCTGCTCAACTCTCTGGTAATACGCCACCAGCAATGCCCAATATCCAGGCTATTGGTGCTGACGGAGCGGATGGTTCGTTGGAGAGCTTTATACAAAGTTTACAACAAGCCACATCTGCCCAAACTCAAGGGACAGGGACAGAAGACGGGAATGGGGGAAGCCAAAGGGATGGTGGCTTGCCTCACGTCAACTTCTTGAGAGTCTTCCGCTTTGTCAACCCAGAAAATTCTGAAAATAACTCGTCAACAGGACATTCTAACCAACCAGCTTCTGAATATACCCAGGACGGTAGATCGGATAGAATGGATATTGATGACCGAAACCCAGCAGAGAGTGGCCAGGACCGACGGTTGGTGACTTTGGTGGTGGTAGGAGTAAGGTCAGTTCCCTCTATAAACAATGGATCCGACAATGATACTGGACTCCACGCCCGTGCATCGCTAGATTCGCTGCTTCGGCTGCCGTTCATTTCACCAAATAACGTTTCACGAACCGAGCGGAGCTCCAGTGGGTTTCTTCGGCGTGCTGATAGACGGTCTAGATTCTCAAGCCATCGTCGCTCCATGGGAGGCAGTACATTCCCGGCCAATTACGATAGTCAGCGTCATCAAAGATCACATGCATCATCTCGCAGTCAATCGGATTTGGCCAGTTCATTACCTACGGTTCTATCAGAAAGTCCCCCTGGTCCTCACCCCCCTCCATCTACTCCTGCCGACGCTGGTTTATCCAACGTTTCCTCAGAAACCAATAGCCCAAGTCGACGACCATCAGCATCCTCAGTTGTGCTTCCTCAATTGAACGAAGACTCTTCCCAGGAGCCCGATGAGCCCTACGAAGATCATCACCCTCTTTTCAATAATGTAAGCCAACGTCGCAGACGCGACTCAGAAACCGCTCGTCATCGCGGCCTTGGCTCCGGAGCCGCAAGGCGAAACGGAGTTGTGGAACCCGATAGTGCCTCGCCGTCTGCTGGAAGAAGCTGGTTGATTTATGTAGTTGGAACGAACTTAGCTGAAAACCACCCAGCTTTTGCAACTCCAAGTTTATTTACGGATGTATGTATCCCCGAATCTTGATAGTAGAGTGTTTTTCTAATACGTTTCTATTAGAACCCTACCTATGAGGACATGTTGCTCCTTTCGTCGTTACTTGGTCCCGCTAAACCGCCTGTCGCCTCCCAGGAAGACGTTGCCTCTGCTGGAGGTATATTTCAACTGGTTGAGTACGGTGGTTCTCTAATCGCTGAATCGGCAGATACAACCCCCAAAATCCCTATCGCGGAAAGCGAAAGATGTCTTATCTGCCTCTCTGATTATGAGGCTGCAGAAGAGGTCCGACAGCTAACTAAGTGCCAACACATCTATCATCGTGAATGCATTGACGAGGTAAGTATTTATTTTTATTTCAATTCTCAAAATGTGGAATAGAATAACGACGGAAAACTAACTCTGGCTATAGTGGTTGACTACTGGACGAAACTCCTGTCCTTTATGTCGAGGTCAGGGTGTGTCCAATTCCGAGAGCAACGACACAGGCAATACCAACGAGCAGGAGATCCTTTCATGACGGGAAGAAAACAGCTGATCTATATTCCCACCCCGTATTTATGTGAACCAAAATCTACAACATCCAAAAGCATTTATTTCCGCCCAACGCTAGAATTCCTACGCACTCACTTTTGTCTTTCCCCTCCCTTGGTTTCCTCGATATTTTCCTAGTTTTCATTTGGATGATATCCGTTGACCCTTAAAAGCCGGAAGACTCGGTGCGGTATTGCTTACAAACCTCTTATCTACCCTGGAATAAATACCCTTTTGAACGCGATGACACACCATCATGCTTCGGTGCATCGATAGGCTTTCTTTTTTTTTTTTTTTTTGACTTGTCAACTCTTCACGACTCTGCCGGAATTCTTAAAGTTTATTCCGTCCCACAGCAGGGTGCGTTGTAATGATTTTCATGTTTTTATTCCCCAGTTTTCATATTTTCTTCCCTTCTCATATTCAATGCTTCACTTCAGCGTTTTACATAGCATGCGCCTAATGTTTCTAGGCACTTTTTGTTGGTCTTGCATTGTTCATACGGCACTCTTGCTCTCCCCGCCCCCCTTCCCTTCCAGGAGAACTTTATTTATTTACGGCTGTTAGTATTTTCCGGTGTTATCGGTCAGGGTTCAGGGTCTAAGAACGATGGGATACGGATAGGGAACTCGGTATGACTCAGTCGGCTGGTATTCATCAGGACCTTGAAGATCTTCAACTTAATCCCTTTGGCGTTGTTATTCTCCTGTTCCTTTGTCCTTGCAACATGTTTTTATCTCATTAGCCCTTGCTATTTCCATATCTTTTTCATTGTTATTCTTTGCTTTTTATTACTCTCTACTAACAATTATGAAGCTATGACATATTGTTTTCATACATTCTGTTTTGATATCACTGGCTCCTTTTGCGGTTTCATTTTTGCAGGGTCTTTTCTAAAGAAAACAAAACAGATTTCTCTGGTGTGGTTTTTCCCTCCCTTTTTCTATATTGTTTTAATTTTATGTTCTCTTCGGTGCTTGCTATTAGATGCTTTATGTTCAGGCCATAAGCATGGCAAGTGGTTTGAGCAGATTAAAATGAAACGTAATTTTATAACTTGAGATTCTTATTGAGATTTCTTGTCGTCTTTTATCATACGAATTAAAGTTAACATGCAATATATTTCAATCAACTCTTGGTCAAAATAACCCTTCCTTCCGCTATGCCCGCCCGGTTTGTACTGTACATGTACAAACCGGCTACTGGCTCCCTTTAGTAGAAAAGGGATAATAAAAGCTTTCGCAACAAGGTTAAGTCAAATGCTGCTTAAGCACATCCTGCCCCAAGACACTGAAATGAGCTCATGAGCACCTGTGTCTCGGTGGGGAACGAAGGATAGGGTGGACTAGTGACGGGGATGAAGTTTTGCACAATAGATTTTTTTTTTTTTTTTTCCGCAATTCCAACAACAACGTCCACGATAGTAAATGATGGTTCTGTAACTCATCATCTTCACTTACTGCGTACACCTGTGGCTTCTTGGAGTTTTGAATTGTGAAGAATTTTACTTACTTCTGCGATCATCTGTCGTCCCATTTAATTTAACATTTCATATTATTCGTTGCGTTCCATTCTGGGAGGGAGGGAGTAGGTATGTCTCCCAGATTACCCCCTTCAGATTCACTGGCTGGAGATACTCATCTTGTATGTACATACATAGATAATCGCTCGCCGTTTTTTATGAGCCGAGGGGGAAAAAGGGGACCATCATGAGCGTTTATATCGAGTCCACTGGCGGAAAGACCCCCGGTCTGGGGCTCTCCAACATCCAAGATGAAGTTTATATAACCCTGAACCCCCCTCCCTCTGGACACTTATTTCCCTTCTCCTATCCCCTTTTTCACATTCCGCTCAATGGGACTGCTAGGGACTGATTGTGGTGTTTGGCCACTGCGGCCTTGGTCTTCATAGTTTTTGTGAAGAGGTACGCATCGAATTTTTATGGTTGATTTACCTTTCTCGTCGCCTATTGGTCGTCGAAGCCGGATCAAGTCAATTCAGGGACGCGAACATTGTTTGAACACCTCGTCTTTCTATGTCACTTCCCAGCCCTTGCTGGCCTACGTTGAACGTGAAGATGCCATTTCTAGCAAGGCCTTACCTCCTATCAGCAGCCGTCAGACGTATATTACATTCTCCATCTGCCGGCATGCAACGCTCCTAGTGAGATTCGCTCGCTATCCTCCAGCTCGCTAGGTCACCTGACGCATAGTACATATATAGGCAAAGATTTATCTCAGCAAGCTCAGACACTTCTCCAGATATTCATTGCTGTTTTAACACTGAATTGATAATTATATTATAAGCTAATCTCAAATAAGTAATAAGCTAATTTAAATAGTAAAATTAGATTATATAAATAATAATATCTTATAAAATATCTGAGAAGAAATAATTTCTAATTATTAATAATATAGAAATAATTTACTCAGTACTCTGAATATAAAAGAGAATTTTAACTTAATTTTATAAATTTATTATTTTTATATTATTTTAAAATCTTAGAATAATAATATTCTTATAATATATCTAATTTTTATATTTATATCTTAAGTTTTTAGAATAGAAGTATTATTTCAAAGTTAACTAATATATTTTTAAATATAGAAATTTTAATTTAATTTCTTATATAAAAAAAGCTTTTAAAAATTCTGAAATTAAAAAATATAATTATTTTTAAGAGTATATATCTATTTTAAATATAGATTTTTTTAAAATATTAAAGAAATATTTCTATTCTTCTTCTCTTTAATTGTAAACTAAGATAATTTTTAAATCTCAAAGATATATAAATATATAGTAATAGAAAATCAAAGTTAAAGAATCTGAAAAATTCTTATAAATTTTAGAAATCTTTATTAAAGATAAAATTATTTCTTTTCAGACTCTTTAATAAGAATTACTCTGAGTATATAACTTATATTAAAAGTAAATTAATATTATACTAAATTAGTTAATAATAATACTGTAATTTATTTAAACTGAGTCAGAGAGTCTGAGTTTATTAAAATAAAATAAAAATTATCTCAGTAAACTCAAACTCTCTAACTTAATTTAAATAAGTTATAGTATTATTATTAACTAATCTGATATAATATTAATTTACTTTTAATATAAGTTATATACTTAGAGTAATTCTTATTAGAGAATCTGAAAAGAAATAGTTTTATCTTTAATAAAGATTTCTAAGATTTATAAGAATTTTTCAGATTCTTTAACTTTGACTTTTTATTATTATATATTTATATATTTTTAAGATTTAAAAATTATTTTAATTTATAATTAAAGAGAAAAAGAATAGAAATATTTCTTTAATATTTTAAAAAAATCTATATTTAAGATAGATATATATTCTTGAAAATAATTATATTTTTTAATCTCAGAATTTCTAAGAACTTTTTTTTATATAAGAAATTAAATTAAAATTTCTGTATTTAAAAATATACTAGTTAACTTTAAAATGATACTTCTATTCTAAGAATTTAAAATATAAATATAAAAATCATATATATTATAAGAATATTATTATTCTAAGATTTTAAAATAATATAGAAATAATAAATTTATAAAATTAAGTTAAAATTCTCTTTTATACTCAGAGAGTCAGAGTATTGAGTAAATTATTTCTATATTATTAATAATTAAAAACTATTTCTTCTCAGATATTTTATAAGATATTATTATTTATATAATCTGATTTTACTATTTGAGTTAGCTTATTACTTATTTGAGATTAGCTTATAATATAATCATCAATTCAGTGTTAAAACAGCAATGAATATCTGGAGAAGTGTCTGAGCTTGCTGAGATAAGGCAAAGATAGCCAACTCTTCAAATACACTCGCGGGCGCTTCCTCCTTGATGAGGACAAGCAATTGGCGCGTCGACGGGTGCAGTTCAGTCTGGATGGGCTTGCATCCGTCGCAGCGACGTCAGTTGGCGCTAATCGCTGCGTTGACATTGAGAAATGCCCTGATGGCTTGTACAATAAGGCATACCTACTTACCATGGACAATGGCAAGGAAGTTTTTGCCAAGATTCCAAATCCCAATGCTGGCATACCTTACTACACCACTGCGAGCGAAGTTGCAACAATGGATTTTGCGCGCAATATACTCTAGACCCCTGCGCCGCACGTATACGCCTGGAATGCCCGTGTTGACGAGAGGAATTCTGTCGGGGCCGAATATATAATTATGGAGAAGATGCCGGGGGTTCCTCTCTCAAAGGTGTGGTGGCATTTGCAGCCAAACAAGAAACTCAAGATCCTTTTACAGGTTGTCGACTATCAGAGGAGATGGACCCACACCAAGTTTACTGGATTTGGGAGTCTATACTATGCCAAAGATGTCGACCCACGACGCCAGGATCCGCTATATGTCAAGGACGGGGAAGCCGTTACGGATTCTCAGTTCGCGATCGGCCCCTCTGTCGCGCGTGAATGGAGTGATGAAGGCGGGTAAACATCAAATGTGATAGGGGCCCATGTAAGGATTGCCTTCGGAGGCTATTGCCAACACTGTGGCTAATCTTTTGCTTACCAAGGGGATTCTATCTTAAATTACCGGGAAGCTATTGGTCTTCGCGAAATGGCGGCCATCAAAGAACTTAACCATGTGCCAAAACAGATGGCAATGGTGTACAGCCCTACACCTTTATACTAACCTACCACGCAAAAAAAACTCGCAGCCCTAGGCTACTATTTTCAGATCCTGGAGCCTTTGCTGTGTGAGAATTCTTTGCCAACCGATGGTCATCTATGGCACAATGATCTACACCATGAAAACATTTTCGTGGACCCAGAAGAGTTGAGGGTCCTTGGCATCATTGACTGGCAATCTGTTCAAGTAGCCCCCTATTTGACCATTGCGTCGACCCTTGTTTTCTCAACTACAACGGCCCCGATGTAGGGGACAATCTTGGACGCCCAGCAATGCCTGAAAGCATCAAATCATTGCAAGGCGAGGAAAAGACTGCGGCACTGAATGAATTTCTGAACAAGGCACTCATGATTGCCTGGCGTAGCCTGGTTCGGAGCAAGAATCCAGAACAGTATCGCATGACCAGACTTCAACAATCCCCAAGTGCAAATCTCCTCCATCTTTCTCGCCGCATATTTGAACTTGGAGAAGCTCACTTCTGCGCACTACTGCTTGACTTGCAGCATGAATGGAGAGAAAATTCTCAATCCAACTCAAACGCCCGTCGATTCCCCCTCACGTTCACGGAGCCTGAAACCAATGAAATCGAAGCGGACATGCGACGTGCGGACTTGGGCATCAAGTTAATGAAGGATATTGAACGCGATCTGGGAAATCTATGTCCTGAGAAAGGCGTCATGGAACATGAAAACTACGAGCAAGTCAAGGCATTGCTCAAAGAGCGAAAGGAGGAACTCATCGCTTAGTATTGCACTCTTCCAGGTTGGGATACAGCTGTCTTTGAGCAACCCTGACCATTCGACGATTGAGCCAGTGTGTCGAGCCGAAAGAGCCGAAAGTTAGCGGTTATGATTAACTTGCGGAAAAGGTCGATGGAAAGCTAGTCTTATTTGGACTTACTACTCCCATTATGCGCCGCTCACCTTTCTAATGCACACTCGGCCTCGGATGTGCTCATCCGCGCAATATTTCCCTTTTTGAAACCCGGATTGTTGGTATTACGGAAAGTCTGGTACGGGTTTAGGAACCCAGTGATAAATTGCTGTCACTTGTTTGCCCTCCATGATCTGCACAGTTTCTGTTCAAAACATGGCGATCAGCTGATTGCACTTTCTAATACGTTGAGTCCAGAACGGATTTGTCTTCTTGCAGAGCGCCAAGGCCGGCGGCGGCACTTAAGTGTGATCATCTATATTTGGCAATGCACAAATATGTATGGACAAGCTGTGATCAGAGGCTAGATCCCTACACAGGACTGTGTAGTTCAGTAATGACGATGTTGATTGGTATACTACGCGCTCACATTCGCACCGAAACCCCTGATAGTGTGTCAGGAGAAGGACAGCAAGACTCTGTGATTGGCTTGCAATGTTTGGATGAATGAGCAACGATCTTGCTGCCTGCTAATGCTCTCTCTAGGCTCTTGTCTAAACCAAATCATGCAAATTCTCTGGGCGGCAAGCAGAAAACATCGCCCCTGCCGCTAACAACGCGATGGACACAGTTGCTGGAAACGTGCATAAAAGGCATGCAAAATTCCCCTCACAGATCCTTCGAAGTATGCCATGTGCATCGTATCAGTCCCTCGATTGCCAACATCTGACAAGTCGAAAGCAATAAGACTGTGAGAAAGCCATCGAAACCGACCTATGTTCTGGTACTAACATACTAAATAGGCCTAACGAGCGTCGCATATTTGCCCTTCTGCGCCAATCCTTTCGACACTGGAACCATGGACACTGGAACCATGGCTTCTCGCGCGCTGCAAAATTCCCTCAAGGATCTCAAAACATGAGTAACGGGCTCCAAAAATCGCATGACGAAGCTCGTCAGCGGCAACGGGACACCGGGCGAAAGAGCTGCGCCAACTAAAAGTGGAACCAACGACTCTAAAATTGGGAGCAGGCTGGATGTCGGCGCTCTGGTTAAGAAGGATGGCAAGGAATACCGCCGCTATTATCTGCAACTAAACATCAACGCGGAAAATTCGACCATCAGGAAGGAGGCCCAACAGGACAGTCATCGGACTTTGTCATTCGCCGATGTTGAGATCAAGCAAAACCCGACCGACGCGGAAACCGAGGCGGCAGTGGAATCACTCTTCGACGACTTGTCCAACAATGTCGAGGCGGACTGAGGAAGCTACGTAGTCGGGGTTGAGGCATGTGCTCTGAAGTGTGCTTTGGAGTATACTTTTTGTCTTGTGATCTTGTGGAGGAATGTTTCAACTTTGTTCAATTTGCAGTCTCGGTATTTGTTTGAGCTGGCATCGCCTCTGTCTAAGCATGTTATCTGCCAATGCGATTCGAAATCCCTAAGAACTGTCTTCCAACTTGGTACGCCAAATATTTTGAATGGCAGTTTCACCTCTTACCACAAAGAGCATAATAGCATATCTTTGAACGGCAATTCAATAGTGGCATAGATTCTTTGAGCATGCCATCCATTAACTTGCTATAGGTCTGAGGCACACTCCGGGCAAATACTACTTAGTCATCTCCTCCCATCGCACTGCTTATGTTCTTCAGCTCCGTGAGAGGTCCTATTATGTCCGAAAACCATTTTATGAACTGCCGATAAAAATTGGCGAATCCGATGAATCCTCGTACGCCCTTTGACGGTCGTTGGGGCCTCCCATTCTTGAATGGCCTTCACTTTCTCCGGATCCATCCGAACTCCCTTTCCCACCTCGATGATGAAACCTAGGTATTTCACTGAGCCTGCTTCGAATTCACACTTGTCAATATCCAGATTGAGACCGGCCTCACGAAGTTTTTTGCAGGACTTTTCGAACGTGTTCCCTGTGTTGCTGCAGACTCCCGTCCCGTGAAGACGAGTGTATCATCTATGTATGCAGAGCTACAGTCATCCAAGTATTCGCGCAACGCCCAATTAATATATCGTTGAAAGGTGCTAGGTGCGTTTGTCAATCCGAAAGGGGTTACCAGCCATCAGCCACTCAAACAGTCCATAACGTGTACGAAACGCTGTTTTCCATTCGTCACCTTCATTGACTCTAAGCTGGTGAAAGGCCGCGATAACGTCCAGCTTGGTGAACCATTTTACTTTGGCCACTTGTTGAAGAGTTTCTTGTATCAATGGAAGAGGATACCTATCCTTACAGGTGATTTTGTTCAGGCCCTGATAATCAACACGAAAGTGCAGACCATCACTGGGCTTATTAGCAAACAGCATGGGAGTGGCAGCTGGAGAATTACTGATGTGAATAAACCTCTTATCTAGATAATCAGTTAGAGTTTTGTGCAGAGCTAGCAGTTCATCTCTGGACATATTGTAGAGAGGTCCCCATAGAATCTTTGGGGGATTTCCGTTCTTGTCTTGGTCCACTATGTCAATGACATGGTCTATCTCTCTGCCTCTGTAATCCCTCACTTTGTAGTTGAGGGAGTGTTTCAAGTATCCCTTCTTGACGTTGTCCGCCCATCCATGATCACTGGCTTTCATGAGGTAACCGATCTAGTTCTCCTAGCAGGTCTTTGGAACGGTTTGTTTCCTTGGCGGAGAGCATTTAACTGGGCCAGAGCCTTTTCCTTGCGAGCAGGGTCTTGAAAAGGCCAGATCGATCTGATGATGAAGAAAATTAGGGAGGACAGAGTCGTTTCCTTGTGGGCTGGTCCTCTCCGTTGAACTTGGGACGAGGGTCCGGGAGCTTAGGTCTTGGTCGTTTAAATAGCTACAGTAAATGCAAGCGAAGGAGAAGAAGTGGAGTTGCTCGCCTCTCTTTTCCGCAATCAATATAAGCCCGTATCTGATCCGGGGATATATTTACTGCAGCCAGCCATCCCTTGGCCGATCTCATGATTGCTGGTTTCCATATTCTATATAATATTCCGAATAATCGACACCGACGAGGGAATATATCTCGATGCTTGATTCCTGCAGATCTTTAACTGCGTCCCTTTCTAATAAATAACAATGATATAACAAAAGTCTTCCAATATCGCCTGACGGCTATATCCGGATTAAAACGAAGCTATTTCTAATGTGAAGGTCTAAACCTAGTGGTAAAACTATCAAACGACAAGCCTACATGTTCTTTCTTTCTTTTTACCCCCAATGATGCCATGAAAGGGGAGAAGAAGAAGACGGCTGCTGCTGCTGCTGCTTCTTCTTCTATACTCAACGCCTCCAAAAATGATATTGCGGGCCCCCCTCTTAATACCATGCCCGCATCTGGCGACGACTTTGAGAAGGATCCTGCGTCCTCGTAAGTTCCTACACCTGTCTTAACCCGGCACACCTTCTAACTCTGAGAATCAGATTGTATACAGACGACTGCTGCTATCTCCTCGTCGGGACCAAGACTTTTATGCGCTATACAGTGCCAACCCATCATCTGAAAAGGTCCCCGCACTGGAGCTTCCAATTATTATCTCTTGGGAATTCGAACGATTGAAGTGCCATGAACTACTGCGTAGATGAGGATATTGGACGACACACACACTAGTACATTTCCTGTACACCGGCACATACCAGACGCGCTGAAACTTCCCGTTTTATCGAACGCTGTGAAACAGGCAACTGAATACAAAACGAGTGTCCTTGTTTTGTATCAGGCTGGCAGCGCATACGAACTGCCTCTTCTACTGAAGCGTGCAAAGCAAGCCCATTGGAAAATTCAACGACGCAGTATCGATTTTCCCAAGGCCCTGGATATCGCAGAACTCGTCTACGAGAAGCTCCAGCAGAATGGTGACGAGGTGTGGTTCTACGACGACCTACCTCAGACTAAAGTTTGAGAACGCGTTCGCGCGTTAGTTACTGTTGGCCGTTACGTTACGGCCGTTGCGGTTAGCGATCTCCCTAGACCACGTGACCCACCACTATATTAAGCTCTTTGTAGATAGATCTATCAATACGACCTTCAACTATCCTACAGTTACCATCGAAGCTTATGCTGTGGCATGACGCTAAAGGAGGCTTGGGCGCTTACGTAGGCGCTTAGTTGGCATGCCAATCAAACCTCCAGACAATTCTGCAAGTGTGCCGTCCGCCAAAAGGTTGTACAAGTAGTGATTAGTCCGGTCCGTGTATGGGTATGGTGGGGATCTATGTCGAGTTAGCCCGAGGGCAAAAGATTTGAATAACTATAGATATCACTCTCGATATGTGATAGCATCTCACTCATCAGGACGTATGGAAGGAAGTTATGGATGGATTGGTTGACTGGCTGGCTGTTCCATAATACTGTGCTCGAAATTTCCCAAAACAAATTAGAGCTATCTCAGAGGATGCCCTGGTGGGAGAGATTATTCCTCCCCGAGAACTTCCAGAATTCCAGAATTCCAGAATCTTCCAGGGGTCATTGTGAGCTATCTATCCATGACCCCTTCTATACGGCGATGAAGGTTGTTAACACATACACACAACACAAACATGCCTCCTTCGATCCAGCACTATGAACTGACTACGCTACCTAGGTTGGGTACCGATGGTCATGTCGGCAACCCAGATCTTGACATGGTATGTATATATGTATAATCTAATTCAGGGGAATGAATACGTTATTATTATTATTCCGCGGTTGTAGATGGCCCATGGACAATGAATAAATGAATGATAAACCGCCGTGAATAACTAACAGTTATCTCAGCGGGCTCAGACCCTCTGGCTCGGTTTGAGCGGGTTGCAGCATTATTAACTAATCCAGCATGACACTAACCTACTTTTGATACTGAGATTTACAAGGATTTTTCAGATTCTTCAACTTTGACTTTCTATTATTATATACTTATATATCTTTGAGGTTTGAAAATCACCTTAGTTTATAGTTAAAGAGAAGAAGAATAGAAATATTTCTTTAATATTTTAAAAAAATCTATATTTAAGATAGATATATACTCTTAAAAATAATTATATTTTTTAATCTCAGAATTTCTAAGAGTTTTTTTTTATATAAGAAATTGAATTAAAATTTCTGTATTTAAAAAAAATACACTAGTTAACTTTAAGATAATACTTCTATTCTAAGAACTTGAAATATGAATATAAAAATCAGATACATTGTAAGAATATTATTATTCTAAGATTTTAAGATAATATAGAAATAATGAATTTATAAAGTTAAGTTGAAATTCTCTTTCATATTTAGAGTACTGAGTAAATCATTTCTATATTATTAATAATCAGAAACTGTTTCTTCTCAGACACTTTATAAGATATCATCACTCACATGATCTAATTTTACTATTTGAGTTAGCTTATTGCTTATTTGAGGTTAGCTCATGACATAATTATCAATCCAGTGTTAAAACAGCAATGAATATTGTAAGAATAAGTGCTCACAGATGATTATTCAGGTGTTTGCAGCTTGGCGTGATATGTACTGTTAACTACTAGAAGTATTTGTGGTAGAAAGATAAAATGTAGGGGTCAAATGTATAATAGCATTCAAGCTGAGTTGTGAATAGTATTCGTGAACTCCAGTCTATATAGTTGTGTGTAGCCAAGGGCCACTAACCCTATTGGTTACGCGAGAGATAGGAATAGGGGTAAAGGATCCGCGAGGAGCGGGATTTCTTACAAATATCTGGAGAAGTGTTTGAGCTTGCTGAGATAAAACTAACAGACAACCTTGATCAACACAATAATCACATGACCATGTCTCCTTTTTACTATTAAGCAGACATAAAACCCAGCAAAAACTTTAAGTTTTCCATGGAATTTTGAACAAAGACAGACAAGACAGGACAAGCCAGGACATTCAGCCAAAATAAATTCCCTTCCTCCCATTCCCAGCATCCCATGGTCCAGAGTCTTCTAGATGGGGCCGGCTAGGCAGAGATGAGTGTGAGCGTCGTCCCCTAAGGTTGTTGTTTGTTCCCACCAGAAGGCGTGGCGAAACAAGGTTTTATATATCAATCCCGCAGATGAAAAAACTTGAACAAGGCAAAATTCGGGCCAACCCCCGTGTGTTGTTGTTGGGCGCTCGGTCAAGATTCCGCGGGGCACGGGAAGGGAACGAAAACGCAAACCCTGAATAATAATAAAAATATTATATTATTAATTTAAATGAATAAAATAATACGACGTTAGTTAGGTAACTAACGGGGGGAACTTTAGCTCCGGCATTTCATGTACTTACTCCAAAAAAATCGATCTGATATCAAACCAAGCATCTTCAGTTACTAGTAACTACAGAAGAGTATAGAGTTAATAAGTACTCTCTCTCATCAAGACTAGTTTCCCGGCTTTTCTCATTAATATTCCCTTCCCTACCTACCCTACTCATTATCTATAACTAGGGTAGGTGTTTTAGTAACCAGCTTTGACGGAACCTTGTTGGGTAGCGTAACAGCAAGGTTTTAATCCTTGGCGTATCGCGTGCTATTTGCGGATTTTTGGCTAATCAATCGCCAGGGCTGGAATCATCCCTTGGCTGGATGCTTGTTGGCCGCTATTTCTCGAGAGAACCATATGAGCAAGTACACACAGGGGGAACATTCCCGCATTCCCGCGAGCGAGATTCATTCTGATTCATTCTGAGCTCGGATTGTTTGTCGAGAGAGAAAAGACAAGCAAAAAGCAAAGCAAAAGCAAAAACAAAAGCACAGTTAGAAAAAATTAGAAAGAATTCTCTGAAAAAAAAGAAAAAAAGAAAAAAAAAAAAGCTCACCAGCCAGCCGGGGGTCTATCCCCCACACACAACAGATCCAATGCCCCGTAAGTTACCCTCCGCCGGAGAGTGGCCTGACCTGACTGTGATTGCTAGTGACCGGAAACTGGGCAACCCGTCCAGGGATTTTCTCTATTCAACGTTTCGTGAACTTAAAAAAAAAAAAAAAAAAAAAGGGCATTCGATGACTTCGAAGTCTAATTATTAATTGATGGTTTGTTGGAATTGAATTCAGCCCAATCTTGCAGTGTTGCCTTGCCCTCTTTGAAGACGGCGTTAGCAATAGAACAGCCAACAGTGCTGCCACAAAAGAAGTTTGAAACTGGTTGAGACCTCTAATCAATATCCACTAGTCCCAAAGTAGTTTAACTCATAGTAGTTAGTATTAGTTATAGAGCCACATGATACTGACTCCTTTAATTGAGGTCAACTTTGCCTGTTATTTTCTCACTCATTGTGAGCGAGTTTAAATCTTTAGTTAATCTCGGTGGCTAAACTCAGCTGATTACTAAGCTGGCTACTACCCATATTCATTGCTGTTAATATTGGTGGCCGTTGCAACGAGTGGGAACAAGGCACTACTAACTTCCAGATCATCGGACAACTGGATAACTGGATAACTGGATAACTGAACATCTGGATAAACTGGATAAACTGGACACATCTGGGCATCTGGACATCTGGACAGGAATACAGGACAAACCGATAACCTTGGAGTTGGAGGAATCAAGGGAATGGATGGATGGCACCCTGGGGTACTAATAATAAATATACTTTAGCTCCAGAGTCTTCTCTAAACTAATAGTTAGTTAACTAATAACTAATAACTTAACTCGCTACTTCCGTAGTTAGTTACGTTTTCTTTTACATTTATTATTTATTTATTTTGCTTTCTGAGTTGTTGGAAGAACTTCTTTGCACTTTGTATCTACTTTCTACAAGAAGTAATTATTATTAAATAAAAGTAGCAACGCCATTTCATTTCCCCTCCCTTTTTCTCCCTTTTTCTCGACTGGGGAAATGAATTGTATAAGTTAACTAGTTAGGTTACTAACTAACTTAACTAACTTAAGGGCCTAACTAATTGCTTGGCTCAAACCAAGAGCTGGATAATACACACCATACCATACCATACCATACCATACCATACCATACCATACCAACAGTCCAAAAGTCCAGTCCACTCCAAGTCCAAGTCCAAGTCCAAGTCCACTTCGACAGCGAACCCTTACCTTAGTTACCATTCCTATTATTATTATTATTATTATTATTATTATTATTATTATTGTCATTATTGTCATTATTATTCTTATTCGTCTTCTTAAAACTATTTACGGAGTACAGTATCAATATTTAGAATTCTTCTTCTTAGGCCTTTCCGAAGACAGAGCTCGCTCCCGAGACCGAACCCAAAACCGACCCGAAGACTTGCAATAATAATAATAATAATCATAATAATAATACTGACTTCCTATCATCATCCCCATCCCATCTCATCCCCATCTCATCCCCATCTCATCCTCGTCACTACAGCAAGAATGATCTCTCTCGGCCCCGTCCTCGTCCTCGTCCTCGTTCTCGTTCTCGTTCTCGTGGCTATCACCGCTGGAGAGTAACCTGAGGCCTTAAAAATTCCTGGTAGCTAAACAAAACTTACTCCGAGGTATGATTGATTAGTTATTTGTTATTCAACCCTTCCCTTAACTAGTTGTCTTTCTTGTCAAGGCTGGTATCATTCATTCATTCATTCATTCGTTTACCAACCCCTTTCCCACCCTCGTATCCAGGGGTTGTTGCGCTCCCCAAACCAAGCAAGTGTTTTGCTTGGACTGAACCAAGATAAATGACATTTCCACAAATCCCATCGTCCGGGACAATCCACGGCGTTTCTAGTCAGTCGCCAGACAAGCAATTGGAAAGCAAAATGAATTCATATTTTCTGCCTGATCGTCACCCTCGAGAAGGCTACAATGTACATGTACATCATCTACATCTACATGTACCCTCGACGCAAGACGCGGCCCAGTCTGAGTTACTGCCAACCCCACAATATCCCCACACCAACTCCTCCTCCTCCCTGTGGTATCATCCCCATCATCTCCATCATCTCCATCAACCGCAACTACTTCATCCGCAAGTCCATCGTTCCCATTCCCTTTCACAAATGCCGTCCCTCCCAAATGATCAAAGAAAACACAAAAGAACAAGAAGTGGATGCTTCACGTGTCGTTCTCGCCGAGTAAAGGTTGGTCATTTTTCTTCTTGCACAACCTCCAAAAAAAAAAAAAAAAAAAAAAAAACTTTCGTTGCTGATATGTATATGTAATATACAGTGCGATGAGACTCGTCCAACTTGCGATCGTACGTTATGCAACCCCCTCAACCAGAAATTTAGTTACTTTGTTACTTTACATTGACTCGTTTTGCGATATTTTCCAGGTTGCAGTAAGGGCAAAAGAGAATGTGTCTATCCGCCGCCCCCAGCAAGAAGAACAACAGGAAGCCGCGCAAATCCGGGAACTGCTGAAAAACATCCAGCAATACCAGAAAGTGGATCTTCGGATGAAAATAATGACCGCGACTCGGCGATCTCGAAAACGAACAATGCAAAAAGGAATGGATCTACAAACGAAGACCTCTCTTCTCGCCCAAAGTCTCCACCGGTATCGAGACTAAAAGCATCTATTTCTCGAAGACAACGTGCCCAATCACTGCCCAGGCGGAGAGGACGACCACCTTCCGAAGCAGCATCCGATATCCAAGAGAGAGATAATTCTCCCGTAAGTGATGTGACGTCTGCAATATCGGAATCCCGGAGCAGCCCCGATGATGGCACTGAAGCACCAGCACTTGGACCACTTGGACCCTCTCTTGAGGCAATTTCCAGCTTGCCCGGTGCTTCCAAGCTTACAGAAGACGTGAAATTTTTTCTCGCATATCATCGACATTATATTACATTTCGCCACTATTTTATGCGACAGGACGCACAGTCCTTTATCAACAACGATATCATTTTACTAGCTATGCAATATAAGCCACTGTTGTATGCTATCGTCGGGTTTTCGTCTTATATTTACTCCATCAGGCATCCCAATGGCAAACTTTACACCTTCCTCCAGTACTATCACAAATCAGTAACGGGCCTATTGAAGTCGCTAAGTACGAGCAACGTGCACCACGATGCTATGATGCTGACCATCCTTCAGCTAGCAACTTTTGAAGTATGTTTTTTTTTTTTTTTTTTTTTTTTTTTTTTTTTTTTAACTTTTCCAAGGTGAAACTTATTCGGCTATTTGTTCTAACAAAGTCCGCAGGAGTACATAGGGGATTGGGTGAGCGTTACCGACCATCATCAAGCCGCCCATCGGATGCTCACCGAGCTCTATACGCCAGAAAAAATCAATGAAAATGAGTTCCGCCGCTATATGTTCCTCTGGTATACCCGTTTCGATATAGTATCCGGTATCTTAGCCGGAAACGAAGCCATTTTGAGTCGAGAATGGTATATTGCGTGTGAGTTGTTCGCCGTCGAGGACGAAGCTAGCCACCCGGGCAACATCAACAAAAAGTTTTACACATTGGCCCTCCGCAATCGGAGGGTTGGCATGGATATGGCGTCATTAATTGCAAAGACATCGCGTGGGCTTATTACGATTGAAGAATTTTCACGCCAAAATCAAGATATCACTGCCAGGCTTGACAAAATTCAGGACGCGTGGAGTTGTTTAGTCCATCCGGATCACCTAATTACGTCCTTCCCAAATAAGGTCCCTCTTGGGCCGAATGATATCGTGGACCCTTACGTGCCTGGGAGGATATATGATGAATCATTGTGGGATGTTAACAATTTGCTTGTTGACATCATCGGTGCCAGAATGATGCATAAATACCAAACGGGTTTGCTGTTGCAGCAGCTGGACCTTGAGGAACTGCAAGCCGATGCATTAAAGCTATGCAGTCTGATTGAAACCATGGAACGGTGGCCCGACAAACCGAAAGACTCTATCCTACAGGCTCAATCCTCTTTCGCTCTGGCTGTGCTCTTCATTCCTAGTGATGAAAAACATATTATGTGGTCTCGGAGGATATTGGCGAAGGTGGAACGACTTGGGTAAGCCAAATCCTTTGATGATTTGGTAACACATGGCTATGTATGATCTAGATGGTATCTCTTACATTACTGACCAAAATTCCTTTATATATCCAGCTTTATTTACCCATCCGCATTCCGCGCCAAAATGGCAGATTTATGGCAACTTCCCGAACTGAATCATTGGTGGCTCCCAAACGAAGAAGGATATCCAAGAATAGTTAATGAAATCCGTGACTGGACTAGTGAGCGCGAACTTAAACCACGAGACACATTCCGCGAGGACATTCGAGATTTGAAGACGATGTTCTGGCGAATGGCCATGGGTGGTGATGATAGCAGCCACGGAAGCTCTCCAAGCAATACACTCACGCCTCCTACTGCAGCTGGACTAAATCCTGACACGTCTCCATCCGAATCAACCTCCTAATACGCTATAGTCGTCCAGCGTCGGGGCTTCCGGTATATTCTTCTTAATTTTCAATTATGCACGCGGCGAGGGATAAAGCGTCGTTATTGCTCTTATCCCTAACTTCCCCTTTTTCGATTCTACGCGGACTGGGATTTGGGGGCTCGCATAACGAAAGGCATTTTACTCTTCCACCACCCGAAAGTACAATGTACATTATATATACAATCGTTCCACCTACCCTACCTGTCAAACACCGGGATTTGAAATTGCATCTTTAGATACCTTTCGAGCCGCCCAGACGTGGAATTAAACTTCCATTCCATCAGTTAACCCGCGTTTATTGTCTACTGGGAAATGCCTTCCGTTAGTGCGGCTCGATCCTTTTCGGCCGAGGCGTTTCGTTGTCCTCAATGGCCCCAGCAAATTGATGAAAAAAATCCCAGTTAAAAAAAAGGGAGGAAATGGATATCCACACGCTTTACATTATCGAGCCCACAGTTTTTCACGCTTGGTGAGAAGAGAATACAACGGCGTTTCGGAAAACGGACAGAATAGAACCTGCCAAACATGTGTGTTTTGCCTCCTTGGTCTCGGACCATGGGGGACTGATTGATGAATGACCCTATCGAACGACGTCCGGCGCTACGTACGAAATGCAAGATGACGTCATCGATGTCCATAACTAGGCCGATAAGTCACCTGCTTTGGCGTTCATTCCTCTTATCAGGCGTATCACGAAACAACGGGGTCGCCTACTTATTTAAACGATCGATCGATTTCAGGCTGGTTCCACGTGTACAGCAGCATGTGCATGTGCATGTGCATGCGCATGTACATTATTATTACATGTACATGTACATACATAGTAACAGCGCCAAGCGCACGGTCCTAATCCCAACCTTCACTCGGCTACTACTATCTTGAGCTGGACGAGTAAGAAGGAACTGGAACGGAATTTCCCGCCAAAGGAAACGGCCGTGCGGGTACGTGCCGCAGGATGCTCCCTCCGTTATCGTAATCCCGAAACGCTGCTTTTATCGGGCAAAAGCGAAGTGGGGGGCCCGTGGGGCGGCTAGGGTGGATATCATGGGGATGGATGCGGCCCGGTGGCGTGGTTTGATGGGGCGGAGTGGGGCGGGTGGGGCGGAAATAAGCGCGAGTGCAAAACATAATTAATAGAAATATGGAGACACAACACCCACCCGCCCATATATATATATATATCCATTCTAAAGCAACTTTACTCGTATACCAGGGAAAAAAAATTTTTTTTGACGGTGCTATTATTACAGGATGTTAGTTAGGGGGGGTTGAAAAGCTCTACCTCATTTCGTTCGTATTACACGCATTCGTCGTTCCTTTTGCTTTCCTTTTACTTGTTTCTCGGATTGCTTTGCTTTGCTTACGACAACGTGTATCTTTTGTTAAGTTTTGGGTATGTATTCATTGTTACCACCTCGTACAGCAGCAGTTGATCGGGACGCGAAGAGCCCTTTTTTCCCCCCTTTCTACCCATTTTGATACAGGGAACAACAAATTTTTTTTCAAAAGTTGCTTGTCTTGGGCGGAAATTGTGGTTCTTCCATATGTACTACGTACAATATGTAAAAATGAAAGGGTAATTTCGAGAAGTATAGAAGTAGACGAAAAAAAAAAAAGTGCCAAGAAGAGCCAAACCCAACCGGCCGGGAGAAGTTATCAACTCCAAGCATCCAGCAATGAACGACTGAGTCGATATCTCACTCAATTGTTTCGAGTGCTGCGCAGGAATGCCCTCGCACATATACATATGGCGAGAAGAAAACCGCAGAGTTAAATTATCTCAATTTCACTCTCCTTCTGCTCCATAGATCCGAACCGACACACCCGGCCTTGCCGAAACCTCCACAGCCTCAACAATAGTTTCCAATCCCCCAGCCAATTCCTTCCCCCGCGGGCTCAACATCTCATCCCTCCCAACGAAACCTTCCCCCAGCACATCTTCCCCCCACGGCAGAGCGTCCACATCCACTTCCATCCCCAGCAGACACTTCAACACCACTCCAGCACCAGCCTTGCTCATGACGACATTCATCTCCTTACACCGCTCATCGCAAACGCATTCGATGCAGCCCTGCGGAGCCGTACACTGGCACGCTTCAATCCGCCCCAGCGCCCGTCGGAGCAGACTATCGACGAACTCGAAGGCCTTGGCGGCGATGCCCGAACCTGATGGCCCGCCCTTGGCGTCGTAGAAAGTTAGTCGGGCGGGGCGCTGGCGGGCAGGCTTGGGAGGAGGTGGAACGGCGTGGGATTGGGCATGATCATGATGGGCGAGTGCCTGTCTGTGCTTTGGACCTAATTCCTTAGCGGCAACTTTGCACTCTGTGCGGACATCGCCAGGCGACGAGCTGACGATGTATGTTGGCATGAGAGAGAGAATTGCATGCTCGGCGGCGTGGATGGCTGCGGCCGCGTTGAGGTTGCGGGATTTCAAGATATCCAGTGCGCCTTTCGGCACGTCCAGCCACATTCCCTTGCTCATGATTTCGATCGGAGGATTATCGAGCGCCACGGCATCGAGAATTCGCCCCTTTTTATCCAGTTTGAAATACCCATAGACGACGGTACGGATCCTGATGGCGCCAAAGAACGCCTTGGTGTTGGCCGAGGCACTGATGCGCCTTATGGCTTCCGTCTCGACAGGGTCTATGTCCGTGAAATCACGTTGTTGGGTGGTCCAGTCCACATGGACGCGGACGACACGGGCAAAACGTCGGTCTGTGTTAAGCTCCTTGACCATATATGGATTTCCTTGGTGAAAGAAAATGCCTCCTTCGTAGATACTGAAAAATACTCTCGATTCCTCGATTTCTTCGATTACTGCATTTCGGTTGTTAGTTGTGTCGATGATTGCATAGTGGTTATCTTCAGTGTCACGAATAGCCACACATTTCGAGGGGTGCGGGCGGAATCGCTCGTGGCAATGGTAAAAGCCTAAATTATCTTTGGTGAGCCGTGCAGATGCAAACTCGTAGAGCTGTGGGCCGAAATATTCAGTATCTTCTTCCGGCCGGATGGGCATTTCGAAGGCAGCACACTGGACATGGCCTTCAAGGACCAACTCATTTCGTAAGTCCACCTGCAGTTCACAGTTGGGCTTCGTAAAAAGTTCGTCTGGATTCTGCATATAATATTGGTCGGTGGCGTAGGAATCGCCGACGAGGATAGAAACCGAGTCCTTGTTTCTGCGCCCAGCACGCCCACTTTGTTGACGCAGATTTGAAATGGAGTATGGAAATCCATGCGTTATCACAGCATCAAGTGAACCAATATCCACGCCTAGCTCGAGCGCATTCGTAGCGACGATCCCAAGTAATTTCCCTTCAAACATATCCCGCTCTATTTTTCGTCTATCCTGTGGACTATAGCCTCCACGGTAACCCATGACAAACCGTGAGACATTAATTCGATCTAGGCTTTTGAACTCATCTCTAACAGCACTCAGCAAGAGTTCACACTGTTTTCGAACCCGACAGAAGGCAATCACGCGTACGCCTCTCAAAACCAGCTGGCAGAACAAACGGGCGCTCTCCTGGATACTATTACCGCGGCCAGAAGATGGGTCACCAGGATCTCGAAACGGGGTATTCCAGCATATAAATTCCTTTCTCCCCGAAGGCGACCCGTCGATGTCTGTTAACTTCACATCATCAATTCCAAATATTGTTTGCATATGTTCCACGGGATTCGCAACCGTCGCTGAACAAGATATAAACTTGACACGGCGGTTTCCAACAGCAGCACATATCCTCCGTAGCCGTCTCATAATGAAGGCAACGTGGGACCCAAAAAGACCGTTATAAACGTGTAGTTCATCCACAACTACGAATTTCAAGTTCTTTAGGAAAGTACGCCAAAAGGATTCTTGAGGTAATATCGTAATATGTAGCATATCCGGATTGGTGAAAATAATCCGTGCCTCGTCTCGAATTGTATTTCTATCCGCCATAGGGGTGTCTCCGTCAAATGTTTCCACAAGTATATGCTCCAAGCCTTCGATATAGCCCAATAATTCCTTCAGACTCCGTCGTTGATCCTGAGCAAGTGCCTTTGTTGGAAAGATATACATCCCTCTACTATGGGGATCTTGTTCCAGCTCATGTAGCATCGGAACCTGGTAAATAAGCGACTTCCCTGAGCTCGTCGAAGTAGAAATGATGACATTTTTTCCGTCATGGAGGTTATTGATAGCCTCTGCCTGGTGCGAATAGAACTTCGTAATGCCTCGGGTATTGTACAAGGCGTTGACCAGGCTCTGCGAAAGAGGAAAATTCAGATCGCCATAAACAGCTGGCTGTGGATCAAAGACCCGGTGTCCATCGGGTACTATCTGATCATGGTACCACTCCATTTCTCTTATGCTCGCAATGATTTCTGCAATAGTTGGGCGTTCCTTAGGTATCTGTGCGGGGAACCTCGCTGCAGCAGGAGTGCTAACACCACTCCGGGGTGATACAGGGACATACATCTCTTTATCAGCCTCCAGCTTCTCGACAGGATCGATATCCTCTTCCTGACACTTCGCAAGAAATGCATCAACAGCGTCCACAAATTTCTTATTTCGTTTCTCGATCAGACTCATCATATGTTTCTGGCTGTAGACGGGCACCCTAATGTCGTCTGCTTTCGATCTCCGGCGTGAAATATTCTGCTGAGCGTCCTTCTTCAAATCCCCATCCACAAATTCAAATATCAAGGCATCGCTCTCACCATCCGGATTTGGATCCTCGCTCTCTCCGGCATCCTGCCCCATCCCCTCAGCCTCCCAGTCACTCCAAGTCTTCCCAAGTCTAGTAGATTTGGCCTCCTTCACTCCCACAAGATCCACCACCCCCTTATCAACAATCTCCAATCTCACGGACCGCGGGATCAGCACCTTAACCCTCGCAGCATCTTCAACACTCAGTTTGCGCCCGCCCGTCTGCGCCTCAACAGCCGTTTTGATATTATCAAACGTCGTCGCAAAGTGCTTTCGCGCAGAGCAGAACGTGTAAACGAGGTTCAAGGCGCGGTGTGTTTGAGCGAGGAGCTTGAAAGGTTCAGGCCAGGGGATCGACGGAGAGGAAGTGGTTAGTGATTTTTTCGACCGACCCCGGGAAGAGGCGCTACTAGATCTCGAAGATGAGGTTGTAGAGCGTTTTCTTTTGCCAGCCGTAGGCTCCAATGTAGTCATGCTACGCCCCCCATCATGCGCTTTGGTTGGGAGGATAGTAGTGGTGGTCACCTCCACTGGTAGGCTTGTTGAAGGATTCATACGCGCTTTTCCAACGTCTCCTTCTTGACCATCACCTCGAAAGTCTGGGGTAGGAGATAGATATTATTCATGGGTATGGAAAATTCTGGACGAGAGAAGATCCACTCAGATGTGAAAAGCAGCTTCATGTAGTACTCTTGTTTAAAATAGCCTACCCGAAGGCCATTTGTACGGGTTGCTGTCGCTCGCTCTCTTATAATGTAGTACAGATGAGGTTCCAACAGTCGCGCGGCGAGCAACACGTGGTCATGTGACTTGTAGTTAATGGATGGATGCGCTCCTTGTTTGAAAATTTGACCTCTTAAAAACAACTATTTTCTTCGGGAAGTGCATGGGAACTCAAGAAGCAGTGAGTGATTGATTAATCACGTCCGTCCCTCAAGCAAGCTGCAAGACTGGATGGAAAAGATAAAAATTATCCAAATAAAAAAAGAACTGGACAATGTGATAATCGAAATCACGACCTTTCGCAAGCCTAGAATGCAAAGCGAACGCTCTACCAACTGAGCTAATTGCCCAAATCGGCCGAAGCTTTCGAAAAAGCCACCAGTTAATTCATTTGAGACATACCCAACTCCTTTTAAACATTAGGCCTATTGGATTCTTGAGATAGGACGGATATAAACTAGATGATGATATTTATAATAAAATTGCGAGTTGCCAGTCAACGTTTGGAGGATTTATTTTGCTTGTAACCGTAATTTTGACGTTTACGTCTCTATGCCTGCAGAAATGGAGTCATGAAAATAAATCCAATCTCCGCCCAGATAGCATCGCGGAAGTAAACAGAATGGAGGAAGAAAGGGAAACGAGGAAATTGAAGACAACGCGGGTGGAATGGATATGAGTTTATCGTTCTCCGACAAACAAGGAAAATGAAGAAGATCCTGCTTCCGAGCGACTGGAGGGGGAAAAAAAGTGAGAAAGGATATGGAATTAAACAAAAGAACACGGGCAAATAAAGATATGTTGCAGGAATAAAAAGACGAACAACCCAAATAGAACAAAGGAGAGCAAAAAACTGAATTCTCCAGCAAATTCCGTTGGATATCTTTCCCGCCTCCCCAAGTAGATTCCGTGCTTTATCCCGCTTCTTCGATCGGGCCATGCATCCCCATGCTATGATACTAAAGAAAACACAAAAACTACAATGCTAATAAATATTAAGGAAAGAAGGTCGTTTGTGTGTTGTCGACAAAAGAAATGTTGGATTGTCGGAGCAGGTATATCCCCCTTAATAACCTCGGGGAAATAAAGGTATGAACAGGTTGAAAAGTTGAACCACGAACAGAGTCAAAGATAGACACTTCGAGCAGACGAGATGGGTTTTTTTTTATAAATAGAAAGAGAAAATTAATTATCCACGGTTTGTTGTGTAAGTTAAGGCCAAAAGGAAAGACTAGCAGGAACGGAACGGAGCGCTTAAAGGTGAATTGGGCGCAAGAAAGAACGGATGGAAATAACAAAAGAAAATCTCATAGACTTTCTTGGAGTTTCTGGATAGTGACACAGAGCTCCTTGGCAACATCTTCGTTTCCGGTCTGAAGACAATAAGTTAGAGAAATTTGAAAATAAAAAATAAAAAATAACTAAACTTGCAGATAAACGAAAAAATACATACCCTAAATAGGAAAGGGACAGACTTGCCCTCCTCGAACCCCGCAAAGTGCACTTGTTTTCCCTTCGGAGCTGCCCCGGACGGATCACCCGCTTTCATACCTTTGAAAATAGGAATGTTTAGGATAACCCGCCACACACCATCGGCCCGCATGATCACTCGGGCTGTTTTCTTCTTTGGTTCGTTGTTATCGTCCTCATCGGTCTTGGCCTTGACTCCTTCCTTTTCTTCTTTTTCCTCTACCTTGTCTTCTAGGGGTTGTTGCTCTTCGCTAGATTCGTCTGTATCATCATCACCATTCGCCGGTTCCCGGATGTTCACTTTGAAAACCCCAACACCGCGCTCCTTCCATTCCTTACCGTCGAAATGATATAGCTTGCCGCGGCATGAGAAAATGGTATCCTCGCCCTCTTCACCCGTCTCAGCTAATGGAGGAGTTAGTACACACGCTGTCCAAATATATATTTATAGGTTGTAGAGTGGTGATCTATGAGCGCTTAAAAAAAAAAAAAAAAAAAAAAAAAAAAAAAAAAGGGGGGGGGGGGGGGGGGGCCTCAGGAGGGACATACTCTGCTGTTCATGGAACCTCTCATCCCCTTTCTCTTCCTCCAAACCTTCAAAGGTGGACTTCCCATCATCCCCACCCTTCCTGCCCTTCTCTACATTTTTCTCATCACCATGCTTAGAGCCAGCAGCTCCCAAAATCGCAGACCCGCCCGTAGTAGAAGCTGCAAAGCCTGCTAATCCCCCACCTAATTTTGGTGTAGCGGCGGAGAAACCTGTGCCAAATCCACTCCGACTAAAAGCGGACTTACCACCACCGAATGCACCAAACGGGGACGAAGCAGCGGCAGCTGCAAATGGCGAGGCTGCAAATGCCGAAGAAGATGTTTGTGGGGGTTTATTGACGGTTGTATTTTCAGTAGGAGATGCGGATTTGAGACCTATAGTAGAACCGCCTCCAAGGCTGCTAAATGGGGATTTTTCTGAGCTGGCAAAGGATGCCAATTTCGATGAGGCGAAGGCAGATGCCGAAGTCATGGGCTGTTCCTTCTTTTCCGTTGTGCCCTTTGATGTTAGTTGGGTAGGTTTAGATGACATAGATGCGAAAGGGGATACGCCTAGGGTATTGGAGAACGGATTCGGTGCGGAAGCCTAGGGGGTTGAACATTGACAGATGTAAATATAATATCCAAAAAGGCAAAATCAAATAGTACGAAGATAACAATAAGTACCGGAATCAAAGGGGTATTTTGCAGACCTTTTTGGAAACCAGATCGGAATCTCCTTGAGAGCTCCTATCCTGGGAATCATCACGATGTCTCTTCTTCTCCGGTTCGCCCTCTACCGTACGATTAGCAGACACGGCCTTGGGTCTATCAAAGGACTCCCCAGTTTTAGCTGATGCCGGCCCTTCCTGGCACTTTTCGTCCAGAGCGTCAGACTTCAGATGGTCCTTATCGAATTGGTCCCTGCTACGCTTCTTCTTGGGGCTGAGAATGCGATTGGCAGCATCACGCTCTGTGCTTTTGAGCTCTTCTGTTGGCGTACGTATTCCACCTTCATCGGCAAGCGGCTTAGTATCCATACTATCTGTAATGTCCTGTTTATCCCCCGCCGTCAACTTACTCTTAGGCTGCCCTTGGTTGTCACTGCTTTGATCATCCGTTTTGGAATCCCTTGACCGCTTTCGTCGATGGCCAGTCTCGTCTGTATTTGTTACACCGGAGATATCGTCCTGATTTTCGTCCTCATTCATATCGCCCCTTGATCGTTTCCTCCATAGCCTTCCCCGCGCTTCCACGCTGCTTGTTTCATTCACACTGTCTGCTCCGGCCACCGAGGCTACCTGTGACGCCATGGCGTGGTCTTCTGGGGAATTGGGGCGAGGCACGCCTGCGATGGAGGTTTCCTTGAGTTTCTGGCGGACAGGACGTTCACCGGCGCCATCTTTTTGTTTGTCAGAGGATGGATGGCTTATTTTGTCTTTCTCAGGTTCCTGGACGTTCGTACCTTCTGAGAGCTCCGCCACGTCATTTTCCGGAGTAGGTTCGTGATTTTCTTGCTTTAGGTGGGTAGAGCCTTCATCCGCGTCAGATAATGATTTTTTAACGTTAGTTTTGTGTGCAACTTTTTTCTCCATCTTCTGGTCCTGGGCATCTTGGAGTTCGATATGTCTCGCTTCTCCGTCTTGATCCTGTCCAGAATTTGAAGGGGGTGTATTCTCTCGCGTACCTTGTTGAGGGGTAGGTCGTGCGCCGGGCGAGGCGCCGACATCATCCGTATTGGAGCCTTCAGGATTGTCAGATTCAGGCAGGGAGGCAAGATCACGTTTTTCCTGAGTTTCTATTGGAGATACGGGGTTCTGCTCCTGCATACCTGATACTGGGCCTTGAGAATCCTTGTCCGTGTGTTCTGCGGTATCCAAGGCGGTTGAGTGAGGCTCTGGGAAAATGGCTGCAGACGGGGTCCTACTGGCAGGCTCATCGTTCAGCACACCATTTTCCTGGTGTGTCTCCGAAGCCATGCCAGGCAGGCCTATTCCTTTCACTTTCTTCAGTCTAGCGAGTTCAGGAAAGGTATACTGCGTCGATGTGCGCGGTTCTCCTGTGCGTGGTCACGACTGTCGGCTGGCCGTTGTTGACCGGAGTCGGGCAGGATTGGGGGTGTGGCACGGTTTTTGTGGTGCTGGCGTATTTAAATACGTGGGGCCTCAAGCCAATCAGTTGCGGACGGGGTCGCTCGCCCAAACAAGTCGACGCTGGATGGTTGCTTGGATATATTCTCGGCTCAAGTAACTCCGTATAGCTGATGCAATCGAAAAAAGGTAAGATGGGATTCCGTTATCGTGCGCGGAGTTGTTGCTATATTTATGTAGGAGTGACTGGTGGAGTGGTTGGAGGCGGTTGTTTGCGTCGTTCGGTAAGTTAAATAACTAACTATTTATTTATTTATTAAATAAAATATTTAATATTAATAGCCAAGGCCGTGGCCGTGGCCGTGGAGATTGACCAACGCTCATACAACAACAAAAAGAACAACACCAGGGCAGGGCAAGGGTAAATCCGGCGAAATGCGACAGAAAAGCCAATTCTTGTATGGGAGGGCGGCTATTTAATCACTCAGGACGTTGAGAAGATCCGCCAGATGCCTTCAATCGTAACACTACAAACGGAAATCCAGTCCGCCAACACACTCGTCCGTCAAAGCTGAACCTGGCGAGAGGACTGTTTATTCAACACAGGACCTGAAATTTGATTGCTTGATCCAAACCGAACGGATGCCGCTGTTGTTCATATCAGTACTCTGTCTTTGTCGGGCTGCGCGGTTCTTGGGGGAATAAAGGGGGGCCAAATCGCTGAAATGCTTTTGACGAGACACAACGGCTGAGGCTATTCATTTGCTTGTACCTTTTCAGTATGTGGCTTCTGATTAATGAAGTCTTATTTTATGGCGATCACTAGGCTGCAGAGACGGAATATCGATATGTTCGGTATTACTGGATTCGAGCATTAGCTTGATGACAGGCGTGGTTTTATTATTTATTATACACTCCAGCTGGTTTCCCATTGTACGAGGATAAGCAGTCCCACCATAATGCTACCTGGAGGCCCCTTTAAAAATGCGGATCTAAAGGGGCGCCAGAGTGGTTAGGTTAGGGTGTGTCACAATTCGGAGACGGATAATGAGCTGGAACTGAAATT